AATTGTCGGGAGATTACTAGATATAGGGTAGCCTGGTATATATAAGAGGGTGACAACGTGACGGGACAATAATGTGTGTAGGTAGTCAGGAAGTATTGTTGAAGTTAACGTTCGTTGTTAAAACGTTTGTAAAAGAGCGACTGTTGAAAATAAGTGTATCAGTAAAGTTATATTCAGAAAGAATAAACCAGTTTTATTAAGTAAGGACTTGTGTCGCTAAAGTTTCGTCGGAACGAAGTTACGGAAAATTAATTAACAAACGGAGACGTAACAGTATTGAACAATAGGTCAAGTGTCCTGTGAGTCGGTAAAAATGATGAGAAAAGTGAACAAAAACGTCAGATCGCTAGTTAAGGATTGTGCCTTATTGGTGGTTGGGCAAAGCACTGGCCCTGTTAGCAAAAGGTCCTGGGTTAAAGTCCCAGAGTCCCTTTTTACCTATCGGCTTTTTCACTTACAATAATGTTTGTTAGAAAGTGTACTTTTATTAATTCATAATATGAATTAAATAATAATAGCAATATATATATATATATATTGTTACGACAGCAGAAGTCACGTGACGCTGGTAACACATAATGAGTATCTAGAAAGATCGAGGAACTTGTCGAACGTCCTAGCGGTTGCTAGAATGGCGCTATTATAGTATATAAACCGGTAAATAACGTGACGGCAACATTGGAATAGCAGACAGAGAGATTGAAGATATAGACGGACAATTGAGTTAAGCGCGGTAAAGTGCTTGAATCGTTCGTTGAGAATTATAGCGTATATTTAAGTGACTGTGGAAATTAAGTGTATTGCAAAGTTGTATTGAGAAAGAATAAAGTAGTTTTATTTAAGAAAGGACTTGTATTGCTGAAGTTCTTCGGAAATAATTTTTACGATTAATTAACTAACGACCACAGACGTAACAATACGATTTGTTTGGGTGTTGGTAAATCAACCCACTAATTGCCTGGTCACAAAGTAGTTGGATAGGTAAAAGGTCATGGGTTCAAGCTCCATTCCCAAAGTCTCGTTTCACTTCTTGGCTTCTTCACTTACAACAATGTTTGCTTTGGAGAGGAGCATCTCTGGCTTTATCAGCTATCTAAGCTATCGAGAAATATTTGTTTGTGTTTTTATATTGTTTTTAAATGTAAAGTTGCACAATGGGCTATTTGTAGTCTGCCCATCTCTGAGATTTGAACCACATATTTTAGTATTGTAAGCCTATGAACTTATCACTGTTCCACAAGAGGGAAGGGGTGTATTTGTTAGTGAGATGTTAGTCTGATGTTTTACAACAAATGCTGGTTAGGTGTAGCGTCATTTATTTGGAGCATACCATGCACTATTCACTCTTGTTTAGCTTGTTACCGGTTGCCAGCATAAAGTTGTGCTAATTGGCCAAATAGGTGGCTTTCTTTAGAATGGCTAAGTCGAATAAGGTCAACTAGAAACCTTGCACCATGTGTACTTACATGCACATATCACGTGACATTAAGTACATGATTATCCAAACCACTCACCGCAGCAGTGAGCTCAAGTAGAGTGATGCACCCATGAAAGCTGATAACAAGATCTAATTCAGATTCCACCAGCCAGAATAGTGAAAGTCATAGCTTCTTACTGACCATCCTCTATCTGATGTAGCATTGATATGAATAGTATTGTACCCGATAATCTTTATCTTATCTAACAGTAAAATATGCATCCAATCTCCTGGTAATTCACAGTTGAAGCAGGGATTCCTTTGAAAGCTTCATGCTCTTGCTACACAGGTGGTATAGTCGTGACAACTGGACCTGAATAGTCCATAGTTGTAGCTGGGTTTTCTTTTGCTCTAGTATACAGTTTGATATGACTACTTCAAACCGGATTGCCACAGAAACTACCTCCATCAGAGATGAAATGTCTTTGAGCCTCCTTTAATGTTTGACTGGCAGCACCAAGATGCATGCTTGGAAATACCCATGTAACCTCTCTAGATTATCCATAAAGTAGTCAAGTTTTAACTTGGCCTTATGGGTCACTTGGTTCTCCACAGGGCCGAACCTGTGGTGCACTCACTGACAAACACTTCTCATTACCAATTTCCTCCTTGTTCAAATGCTCTAGGATACCAAGCACCAGACCATCTAAACTCGGCATCAGCTATAACACCACTCACCTCTGAGTCCACCACAGGTATACTTGCTTGAGAAAGCGTTTAATTAACTAATTGTAAACTTTAAGGTTGGTATGAATACTATACGGTAGAAATCAATATTTCTTTCCAAAACTGTGTACTATCACCAGCTATCCCTTCATCCCTATTTAGCAAATAATTATTTAATTTACGGCCAAAATTTCTATTGATTCTCTAATATTTAATTCACTTTGAGTATTAGGTTCATGCCATTGTATTGAATGCTTGACCTGTTTCGTCATTGTGTCCAGCAAGTGAAGAAATTAACATATTTTTATTACATACATAACCTTTATGTTCTTTAAAACTTAAGTTTAGTTTGACTAATATATTTTTTATTGCATTCACACCTAATTTCATATACACTTTTTATCTAAAATGTCTTTTTTTATTTTTAGTACTAGGAAGTATTGTTTTGATGCTTGGTTTGAAAAATAGGAATAAAATTATCTTTGCTAAGTACACAGGCGATTTGGCTAATTATACATTGTATATATGGTAATATTACTCTAACTCTACTATTGCCCCCCACTGGCACAGCGGTATGTCTGCGGACTTACAATGCTAGAGTCTAGGTTTCGATACCCGTGATTGGTAGAGCACATATAGCCCATTGTGTTGCTTTGTGGTTAACTCAAACTAATTTTACTGTTGATTTTATTATCATAAACTGTTTTAATTTGGTACATTGCCTAATAAAAATTGAGTTATATTTTTTAAATCATACGTTCAATTAAATCAACATTATAACCTCTGTCATTACCAATGTTTTTTATATAATTTAATTCGTTTTTCAAATTAGTAGAGTAAGGACAAAATTCTAAACGCTCTGTTTATATAAGCATGAAAAGATGCTAGATTTTGAGAAAATGAGTGACATGATCTTTGATGTGGCACTGTAGAGATTGAATATGGTTTCCGATAAACAGTTGTGGAAATACTTCAAGTGTTATTTCTTTTAACAAGTACATCTAAAAAAAAAATAACAATTATCTTGTTCAATCTCATAAGTAAACTGAATAGACTTAGAGGTATCAATATTTTTAGAAAATCAGCAAATATTTTAATTCAGCATCTTCTTGCCGCCAAACCAAAAACGTGTCATCAACAAACCTGATCCAACAATCAGGTTTTAAAGAAGCATTATCGCGATAAATACGTTCAAAACTATGTATACGAAGGTCGCATAGGAGTAAATCAAAAGATGAACTCAAGGCTGATCCAATTTTCTGCTCATAATACTTTTCATTAACTTTGAAAAAAGAATTTTTAACACAAACTCTAGTTAAATTAATAATGTTAACAATTTAGACTGTAGAAATGGAAGCCAGAACTAATCTATCGCGAAAATATTAGCAACTTCCACATGGACTTTAGTAACCAACTAAATAGCGTGGAAGTCTAATGGACCCTTGTTGTGCGTTCGTTATTTTACGGTTTTCATTGTTTTTGATAGATGGGGCGACATTCGTCATGCAGAAAAAACAAAAACAGCGGATGTATACAAATTAAGAGAATATATTATAAAACGAGGTGGTTTTTTTTATAAAAAATTTTCATAACGTTTCAGATTGTAACTTTCCTTGATATAATGATAGTTACCCATGACTATTTATAAAAAAAATTAAGTTATCACATATTGTGTAATGATAGTGAAGATTTTGTGGACTATTTTTTGAAATGCCGATCGTTAAACCTATCACTGTGTTTGAAGGTATAAGATATGATTTGTTCTATGATTTAGAAGTGTTTGGGAGGAGTTCTTGCCGGTTGTAAATCTGATATATCGGCCTTTTATTTTAAAAGTAACGTCAGGGCATAATAACTCTAAATATTCTATCATTATGATCACAGTTATCCATATCCAATGCACTGGGAAGCCAACAATAACTATTTGCTCTCTATGAATGAGATACCGATATATCGCTCCCCCGTTTAACTCAGTTTTACTTTTAGTGCATTTTTAGTTTTACTAGATCAAGAACCATGGGAAACTGTTTCAGCCGATCCGGAGATAAAAATGTAAAAAAGGGGGAAACACACACGGGCCAAGTCTCTGTAGAAAGGAATGAAACTGTTTCTCCGACACCAAACGCTATAGTAGCGGTTCAGACTCATGAACCGTCCAGCATACGTCCAGCTCATCATGATCTCATCAGAGGAAATGGACCAACTCTTCCCACGGAAACAGACAGCATTTCTGGCTCCACTGCCAAAATATTTGTCGCACTATATGATTACGATGCTCGAACAGATGAAGATCTTAGTTTTAAGAAAGGCGAACACTTGGAGATACTAAACGATACTCAGGGAGACTGGTGGTTTGCAAGGTCAAAGGCCACTAAGAAAGAAGGTTACATCCCTTCCAACTATGTTGCCAAACTGAAATCTATTGAAGCAGAACCGTAAGTTATTATTTGTACTAAACTTAATGTTGGGTGTTCTTTTGATAATAACGACATGGAAAGTGATATTACAAAAGAACCAAGACCAAACTAATAAAATGTTATAAAAATATTCTCAGCCCATTATAAATACTGATGCAGAGCATAGGAGTTTCCCTACACAATGTAGTAAATAATAATAATTAGTATTAAATATACTAAAGTTCTTAATAATAGTATCTCGTATGATTTTAGAACTTATAGTATGGGCAAGCAATTTGTCTGGTCTCTTGAAAAAAACTTGAGTTATTTCACTAGTAATATATGTCTAAACAAAAATCTGATTTTGAGTATGTTGTATGTGCAAAATATATAAGTATATGAACTAAGGTCAATGAAATGTTTGGTGTGAAAACTATTAATATTCTACTTAAGTTAAAATGACTGTTATAATATTAACAGGATAATCAAATCCAGAAATGCAAATGACATTTTCATAAAACTTTGCAGGCAGTAAGATTAAACGATACAAGTTTTAAGATATGAAAAACTTGGAACTACAAAACAATATTATATAATTATATTACATGGTAGTTAACTGACGAATAGTTTGCCTTCATGTGCGATGAAAGATGTAACAATGAATGATTTCAAGGGGAGAGTTGACGAATATTTTATAGATCGGAGCATTCTATATGCAGCTCAAACAGGGTAGTAATTGATAATGGAAAAGGCTAGATGAACTAAATGGACTTTTTTTTTTATCTTGGAAATGAAATTATATGAAACACATTACTTTATCTTTTTAAAGTGGGTCAATTGTGGCCCAGTGGTTAGTGAGCTGGACTGTGGATCTGTCTTGTGGTTCACACATTGTTACTATGAAAAATAATTATGCTCTGCACTCTGGGGCCTTGGATATTTCAAATAAATTTTTTTTTACTCAACTATGAATTCCTTAAGCTGTTTTTCTTTTATTCTGGTATTAACAGTATTTGCTTCACCAGTGATTTTCCCATATTCTGGATAAATCATGTTTACCACATACATATCAAAACTTTAATATAGCTGCTCAACCATTAAGGTTTTAAACATAACATTTAACAGAAATCAATAGTCCATTTGGTTGTGCAAGGTTGTCCTTGAAACAAGTACACATTTCAACCCACCCTTTATTTTACAGGAAATAATTCATTCCACTCTTCAATAAAATATTTAGAAAGCAAATTAGGTCTGATCTTCCCCATTATAATTCTTCTCTTTTTAGGAGCACTTTACTATTTATGAATCTTGTCTTATGGATTCAAAACATGGTTTTTGAAAATTAAAATCAAAGAACATTTCTTTATATCTCAGAATGTAGCAAAACCCTGAACCTAATTGTGGAATGATCACTCTTCCCCAATTCAAACATTGCAATCATATCCTTATTAGTGACTCACACTAAATCTAAAATGACATCCCTCATGGTTGGCTCTCTGACCAAACAGAAAATCATGGGTCCCTTGCTATTTCTGGAGATTTAACATAATGTCTCCTTATAATTATTGAATCAGTGTTCTTATTTGTAGCAATCCTATCTAGTTATAGTTTCTCATTGACACCTTTTGTCTGATCAGGTTGCATATAACAATTACCAATTAAAAACTTTTTACCCTGAAACCCCTGATTCTAACCCATACAGATTTAATCTGTTGACTAGCATTTTTTATGTTTAAAATCCTATTAGGCTACAACTCATCCCTTATGTAAAAATCCACCTCACCTCTCTTAACATGTCCATCACTATTACATAAGATATAACCTGGAATTTCAAGATGATTTCTGTTGTTAATATTCTCCAAATCTACTCAGATTTCACTGATTCCTATTATACTGTATCATAGTCTTCATCTTTGATTTCAGCTAGAGTCCTGAACTCATCTATTTTGTTCTTAATATTCCAAACATTAGAGTGGTAGTCATGATCCTATTATGTTTATCCTTTATCTGTCACTTATCTTTAAAACTATTATTTAACTTGTTATGCTCTGAATCTTTTTCCAAGTTACTCATTACCCCTGCTATCATATCAATTTGTTTATTTCAAATTTCCCATCTTTATGAAAGTTTACTTTAAATTATTTTTGATGAATCTGTTTAGAGCTTCTTCAAAACATCCTACAATCTAATCTGCTAAAGTGGAGCCCATCCCTAGTATATAACTCGCCCCTGCCCTAAACACTATCCCAAAAGTCCAACCACCCCATATGTTGCTCTAAGCATATCCCTGATATTTCATTTAATCTTTGGATCCTGCTAAGTAATTCATCCCTGCATCTAGCTTAAGGAAGCCTTACAAAAGGGGCCACGTCTTTTTCTATCACTAAACCTCTGAAGGAGTTCTAGCCTAAGGAAGCACTACCAAAAGGATCACACATCTTTTCGTATTGCTAAACTTCTGAAGGAGTTCTCTATACTTACAAACTAACTCTTCTGATTTACAGCATCATTTGTTTCTACATACTCAACAAAAAATGAATTCATTCCTCGGTAGCAGCAACTAAACTGTAAACATGGTATATTATATTCGATACATTAGCACCTCGCTAATAAATTCTAGTCCTAGTTCTTCCCACTACAAATAACTTTCTCTGTATAGTTAATGAAAGAGTCCTTTGTTACATAAACCTTGTGATCATCTCTTTCCTTGTTGCATGCAGCCAATGGCTCAATTCTATTAGAGACTGGCACCTCAATGCTAACTGAACCTGGCTTTATAGCCTCAACATTTTTCCTCACTTGCACCATTTTAAACACATCACTCACAGTCTCCACCACATTGGGAGAGCTTGCTTACTTGATGATAAGTTGGAGATTGCTTTGGTGAAGAGTGTGAAAATGGTAGATTGTGAACACAAATCAAGGAAGTAAGAAAGGATATGGATAATTAGGGAAAAGGTTGCTTGAAAGGAGGATTACTATATCTTCACAGGAAACGAACCAAAGCAATAACATAATATTGGCAATAGACATTGCAAATGTAGTGTGGTTGACATAATATTATTTTTATCTTTCACAAGTTCTTATAATCACTAATGTAGTTTTCTCTCATTGATGTTTTGGTTGCTTGACCCCCTCCAGAAGAAGATTTGGTTTCTGGTTTTCCAGTTTTTCTGAATGATCAGTAGGTTAATTCAAGAAAAATAAGTAATAATAATAAAACAAAAGTTGGTGTTGGTAAATTCTTACCCTAATTCTGAGTTGTAGTTACTTAAATACAATTGATAAAAAGTTATAATTCACCAACTTAATGTAGTTCACACTGAAACACTTGTTGTTCAAGCAATTCAATGATATAAACAATGTCTCAACCACTGCTGTGTCTGTCATATCCCAGCTGGCACGATGAGCCCTAATAGTGGATATATCACATATAGTGTGGTTGAAATAATATTACATATTCTGGTTTACTTTCATTCCTAAATTTTTATATATATATACTTTCAAGTCATGACAGGGTGTGATTTTTAAGCAAAAATCAGTCAGCTGGGGGGAATGTTTTTCTTGCCTTTTTTTGGTAAAAATATTTACCACTTTAGCCACATACCCTTGCCAACATGGACAGCCATTTGGTGAACTGGTTATCAGATGACATTTTAACCTATTTCTGGAAGTGGACTAAATCTTATAAACACCAGTTTGCCAGGAATGTTGACCATTTGTGTATCAATAACAATCCACCTTTTCGCTAATTGTTAGTTATGTCTTTTAAACACTATTGCTGTAAAATATCATAAATGGTTAATACGATCCTTAACTTTGTTTTTAAACTTAGTCTAAACATAAACAGCTTCCAATGAAAAATTGATGTTTTGAGCTAAAAACATTCATTAACACTAAGATCAAAACATTTAGGAGTGTTTGGGTGCAAGGGTTTCTGACTTCTGGGATATTTGTTATTAACTCCAAAATACATTTCAATAAAAACATTAGAGAAAAACTAACTTTCACAGAATGAATCTGTTCTCCTTTTGAGATTATTTTCACACCTGTTACTCTAATAGATATTCCAACTACAAAATAATGAATTTCAAATTAAGACTAACTTTCTAATTGTTCCGTAAAATATAACAATGTTTGATAAATGAGATCCCCTTAAGTTTATAAAATGGTGAGAGAATCTGCCAAATTGTTCATGGTGAGCACAAGTTCTTGGCAGTTAAGAGACATAAGCTTTTTGAAACCTCATTGTGGGAAACTTATTTAAGGAATAGCTTATGATACTTACAATTTTATGTCTCTAAATGATTTTGGATATAGGACAAAAAAAAAGGTTCACTGACTCATATTCTTGTTTTTCAGAGGCTGGGGCTAAATAGTTTGGATTATTAGTTCTTTAACACTTTTTTGTTTATTACGTACTTTTCAGCCTTTCAATCTGTAGGGTGCACTGTAACCACTACTGGGGCTTTGACTATTCAAGACAACCAATTTTAAGACCAATAAAAAATTTCTTTTATATATATGATGTTTTGAAATTATAAATGTCCAGCAGTTTCTGAAGATTTTTCAGGGGCGTAGATAGCACTACAGAGTGGGGCAGGGGGTCTTTTTTTTTCAAAATAATGTGGACCTTCTCTTCTACACAAAGAATTGACGTGAAAATCAAGTGTTTATTTCAAAAAATTATCAGTATAGCGGATGTTTTAGACTTTTTAGAATACCGAGGGCGTTCGAACTCCCTCACCGCTACGCCCATGTCATATCTAAAAAAACACAAAGAAAACAAGGATACAATAATTGTGGGGTTGCTGTATGTAATGATGTCATTTTGAAAGGTCGTAATCTTCTGATATAACTCTATCTGGAAGAGTAGAAAACGGCATGCTGTCGAGGGCAAACTTGAAGACGGAAAGGGAAGTAGCTATAATTAATACGAAACTATAAATATAGTTCAATGTATTAACACAGTATTATCTACTTTTAGGTTTATTCGACTTGCAGAGTTGTGTAAAACATGTAGCTTGGTTCTGTAGAAA